TCACAGCACACCCTCAGCTCAATATAATCAGTAGTGGCTGTGTCAAATTTCCTGTAGAACCATGGTAAGTATGGTGATGAACAGCAGGTTGCTTGTTCATCGGCTATACAGCCCTGACCATCCCAGAGTGGATCGGCACTTCCTCCTTCACAATAATAATTGTTTCCAATAAATGAAGGAACTTGTTGTATGCTACCAATAGTACATGGACAATTGTTTTGTCCATTAGCATAAATGGATGTTGCTGATGATGCAGCAAAAGTCCAGACATGTTGACGAGGGGATCCACGTGTAACACTCACACCATCAACATAAGAAGAATCGATATTGTTGCGTTGAGGGTTGTCATTACTAAGAGCATCAGGAGTAGCTTTTGAATATCCCTCCACTCTACCACAAATCTGTGAATAACTGATACCATTAGTAAGGAACTTGGCCGCTGGTGTACAGCTACCACCATCAGACTCTGGTCTTCCACAAGATCTCTTCCCTCCTATAGTGTACTGCCTAAACCCAGTGGGACAGCTCTGTGTAGCATCAGACATATCCAGATATGCTACTCTTGTCCATCCTCCTCCTAAACCACAGAGCTGGTCCATGTTACAGTACATAGTTTTGTAATTGACGTAATAGTAACCAGTTTGATTGTTGGGGTGTAATCTCTTTATGTCTTCACAAGAGAGTATTGGCTGTAATGATGATAACCGTGTAGTTTGGTTTTGCAGTTCAGTAGCTACACTTGAAACATGATCAGTTGCATTGTTCAATTGGAGAGTTAGTTGGTCAATTTGCTTGCTTTGTTTCTCGAGAGCCATCTTCAGCTGTCCAACTTGCTTGCTTTGTTTCTCGAGACCCATACTTATCTCATTAACTTTTGCTTGTAAAAGAGTGTTATTCTTAACAAGTTCAACCGATATAGGATGTATCATGTCACCACAGACACTGTCACCACCTCCTCTGATTATGCCAACCAATAAAGCAATGAGTACAGCCAATATTCCTATTGCTATGCTAATTTTACACAGAGACGGACATCTTGATCTATCAAGGTGTTTATCATCTTGAGCCGAGATAGACTCTTGTGTCTCATGTGTCTGGCCCCTACGAGCTTCCATCATAGATTAGACCACGCCCATGGAGGAAAAACCGTAAATGATGCCCAAATTAGATGAATAAAAAAAGAAAGTGAGCCGTTTATGATAAATTATGTGTAGGTTGATGGAAAGAAACTCTAGGTACGTGAATAAAATTTAATAGTCTAATAATAATAATGTATTATGTGCATGGATTCTGTTTTTATTCATAGTGGTATTAGCAATAAGAAGCAAGAGCCAAGAGATAGAGAGAAGTGAAGATGAGCATCGAAAGTAAGCAAAAAGAGCGTGACTCACTAGTGGCAAAAACTTTCATTAAGTACATGTACTTCAATTACAATGAAAGTAATTGGGGAGGGTGTTTCAGACCCAAATCTCATTATTACTGGTTGTAAGCAACAATAATCTGACTCTGATAATAGGGTAGAGGTTGTTGATCCTTTTAATAATGAGATCATGCAGCAACTGGAGAAAGCGCAGTATGAGATTGTAGCACTACAGAAACAGACTAGTCCTCGCCTACGCAAAGCTGGGCGAGGCCAATAAAACTGAAGGACCAGCAACTTCTTGAAAAAGACAAACAAGTACAATACAAAATATTAAATATTAATATTAATTACAACAAATTCGTATAATATGCATATACATAAGGAGCCAATATTAATGTGTTAAGTACCAAAATTATTTTTTAATTGTTCAGTCACTTATATTTTATAGATTTGTACACTGAGAGCTGAGAACTCTGAGAAAGATAGAGAGCAGAATGAAGAAAAACAGAATTCAAACTCTCCAAAGAGAGAAAACTGAATTACAAGTAATATCATTTTAACTTGAACCAAGGCCTGACATTTATGTCTTTTTTTCTCATACCATATAGTGGGAAATTTTCGAGGATAACAAATTTCGCAGATTTTTTCATGATTCATGAAATTAAATTCCTTGAAAATCAATTTAATACGGTATAAGATGGCAGATTAGTGGAAATTCGCAAAAATTAATTCCGCAAACTTCCGGATACGGATCATTTGCGAAATTTATTATCCTCGAAAAAACTCGCTATACGGTATTACAGAGTCAAAGAACTCATGAACTTGTCACTAAAGAAGCAGGTATCATCACAATCACACAAACCAAAAACAAAGCCACCTACTCTCCCCCCTCATCCCTCCTGACACTCACTCAGACTGCCATACTAACACGCATTCACATTCAATGCTGGCCATAATTTAGTTATTATTATTATTTTTTTTTTTTACCTTGGGAGATAAATTATTAACAATACTTTGTTATTGCTAGTGATATTAATTTTTTTTTTAATTTAAAAGTGATCCCTTTGATATTTGGTACTGATCCATTGAAATTCCTTCCACATCTTAATTTATGATTATTTTTGTCTAAAAGGCTCCAAAAACTAGAGCATAATTTGTATACTATTAATTTAAAATTTAGCAAAAATGTCTATTGTCATTTTATATAAATTTCATATAAACTAACAGGAACATCTTCATCATGAATGGCCTCGTCACAGCACACCCTCAGCTCAATATAATCAGTAGTGGCTGTGTCAAATTTCCTGTAGAACCATGGTAAGTATGGTGATGAACAGCAGGTTGCTTTTTCTTTGGGTAAACAGTCCTGACCATCCCAGAGTGGATCAGCACCTCCTCCTTCACAATAATAATTGTTTCCAATAAATGAAGGAACTTGTTGTGTGCTACCAGGAGTACATGGACAACTGTATTGTCCATCAGCATAATTGGATGTTGCTGATGATGCAGCAAAAGTCCAGACATGTTGACGAGGGGATCCACGTGTAACACTCACACCATCAACATAAGAAGAATCAATATTGTTGCGTTGAGGGTTATCATTACTAAGAGCATCAGGAATAGCTTTTGAATATCCCTCCACTCTACCACAAATCTGTGAATAACTGATACCATTAGTAAGGAACTTGGCCGCTGGTGTACAGCTACCACCATCAGACTCTGGTCTTCCACAAGATCTCTTCCCTCCTATAGTGTACTGCCTAAACCCAGTGGGACAGCTCTGTGTAGCATCAGACATATCCAGATATGCTACTCTTGTCCATCCTCCTCCTAAACCACAGAGCTGGTCCATGTTACAGTACATAGTTTTGTAATTGACATAATAGTAACCAGTTTGATTTTTGGGGTGTAATCTCTTTATGTCTTCACAAGAGAGTATTGGCTGTAATGATGATACCCGTGTAGTTTGGTTTTGCAGTTCAGTAGCTACACTTGAAATACGATCAGTTGCATTGTTCAATTGGAGAGTTAGTTGGTCAATTTGCTTGCGTTGCTTCTCGAGAGCAATATCAGTGTCAATCTTCAGTTGCTCAAATTGCTTGCTTTGTTTCTCGAGAGCCATACTTACCTTGTTAAACTTTGCTTGTAAGAGAGTGTTATTCTTAACAAGCTCAGTAACAGATATAGGTATGTCACGGTCACCACCTCCTCTGATATCTATGATCATGCCAACCAATAAAGCAATGAGTACAGCCAATATTCCTATTGCTATGCTAATTTTACACAGAGACGGAGTAAATCTTGATCTATCATTAAGGTGTTCATCATCTTGAGCCGAGATAGACTCCTGTGGCATGTGTGGTGTCTGGCCCTTTCTAGCTTCCATCATAGATTCATAGATATTCTATTATGAACGTGAAGCGTGGGCTACGCCCACGCTTCCGTTTCCAATCCCTTTCCTTTACTCTATTATCTATGATCAGAGGAGGTAGGACACGGTTGACCTTTGATTAATAATTGCAAAGTTCAATGGACCTTTTGCACTTAAGCGATTCTAATTAACGCGCACCCAAAGTGGTGGTAAAATGGCGGATTTTTGGAGGAAAGACAGGCTGAACAATCTTCTCTTTTATCCAGCCATTCTAGCTGTAGGAGCCACTTTGAGCTGTCCTTTTGTTTCAGTATACTCTATTTATCTCTTCTGTAAGCTCTTTGGTTGCTGTTTTGGCTTTTATAGCATTTTATCATAGGAATATTCTCACCCATTGGCAATTCCCGTTTTTCTAAATTTTGCTTTCAGGAGCCAGGGCGCTTGCCCTTCCATTGCCATGAAGACAGAAGTGCATTCAGCTGAGTCCTATGACTAGTGTCTATCATCAGAGTTAGTCTCAGTTCATCAGGACAAGGTACGGTGGAATAACTCACTCAGTTGTCATGTTGCAGCTGGAGTGTGGATGATTATGACCATCTTTTCACTTCTTAAAACTATAGGTTGGCTCTTTTATAGGTAGTTGAGGCATGCAAGAGCTCATTCTTTATCTGTACATTC